TCTCTTCAACCTCAAACCTAATTCTCATATCATTTTCTTTTTTTAATGAACAATAACTCCATTTTTCCAGTTGCTTAACACAACACTTTAGTGGCATCCTCGACATTCAGTTTTTCAAACACATATCTCTGAACCATCAGCAGATATATCCATTCCAGCCACAAGACATACCAAGATTTAATTCTCCCTCAGTCCACCACCATCACCTTCGGTCTGTGTGAGTGAAGCAGGCTCCTCACAGATCTTTCTGCTTCTGCTCTTGTTATTTTAGTTCAATGTTAATATAGCGACATGACAGTCATGTTAGGACAAAAGTCAAGCACATCGCTTCTCTATTCAATCTCCACAGTAAAATGGCCCACTTCATATACAGGGAAAAAGTAGCCCTGAGAATAATTTATAAAAGTCAATGTGTTTTGCAAACCTACTCTTCTGTAAATGTTCTCTGACCTCATCTTCCCCCACCCTACCTTCATCTCTCCTCAGGAATGGCAGGCACACTTCAACTTCAGTGATATGGGACTTGGTTTTCTCTATACAGGAATATTCATTACCTAGGCGTCCTCACTCCTAGACCCGCCCCTCCTCAGTGCTTTAATCAATGATCACCTTATCAGAGAGGAGTCCTTCGCAGCTTTATTTTCCCCCTTTGTAACTGGTTGTCCATAATATGTCATGTGTACCACCTATTTAACATGTGTATCTTGTGTTCCTCTGTAGAGCGGATGTCAAGGAAACTGTTGTCTTCATTGTCTACTATGTGCCCAACGTCTAGAACAGTGAGAGGCAGATAGTAAATGTTACTGAATGAATACATGATTGAATGAGTGATGTGCTGTTTTGTTAACATCTTTCTTCATTTGTTTTACTGAATAAGAAAATCCTTTAATTACTATGTCAAGATTTTGTATGCAAATACGGCTTCTAAATAGATCATAAATATATTAAATACTGACGTGGCTTACGCTGTGAGCAGTCTCAAAAACATTTTCAAGTGATTTGAGAAGTGCAAATTTTATTTAAGTTGCTCTATAAATCAATACTTAGTGACATAATTGGAAGCTTTTAACAAAGTAAAATTAACTAATGAGCCTTGTTCTTTTCAGCAGAGTCGGGTCGGGAACTTTGCTGAACTGCTTTCTTAAACATCATGTGCAAAGCACTGTGCTAAAGTATGTCCTGCTTCTACAGTGGGATTCCAGCCATATGCATTTGTGTACTCACAAATGTCAAATGCTTGTAATAGTCTTCTAAGTGGTCTCAGGGTCTCCATCTCTTCATTCCTGTACATTTTTTACTGTTTCCAGGTCGATATTACTAATGCAAACTCTAGCTATGCCACTAGGCTACTCATAAATTTTCATGGTTAAAATAAAATCCAATCTTATGAAGCAGGTGTGTGACACCTGTGCAGCCTGCAGGCCACCTGTTTTCCTTGTTATATGCTTCCCGATCAGATTGTTGTGCTTTCTACTCTGTCATATTTTCTACCTTTACTTTTCTTTATAACATTCCTGAACCTGGGAGATGTGTTTAAAACGCATATCCCGGTTGGGGCAATTGACTAATCAGCAATGCTGATTAGAAAATGGTGGTATTATTACTGACTTAGACGCAAACTCTCAATTCTATTAAAAAATCTTAAGATGATGTTTCTCCATTTTCGCATCCACACTGAACTCCAGTAATATGGTGCACTTATAGTCAGCTAAAGTCTACAGGTCATTGTATGACTCTTGTCAAGATGTGTTTCACATCTTCTCCAAATCGTTTGTGAACTAACTACAACCTGTGCATCTGTCCTTCTAGAATCTTCTTTAGGAGGATGGACTATTTCTCAATTATACATCTCCTCTCCACGTCTACTACTATGAAACAGCAGAGGGAGGGGAAGATAAGAAGTGAGAACACATAGGAATTGTGTTCATCTTCTTCTTCCTTCCAGACTATTCCTCACATATCGAATAAACAAAAGGGATCATGGCCACATCAAGCAAAATGCCCTCAGTAGCTCTCCATTGCCTTCACTGTGGCCTCAGATCTGAAATGATTCATTTTTTGCCTGTCTCCGGGCTTATTTTTACCACTCATGGTCACATGTCTTGCACCACTGTCTCTGGGTTTTTATCTATGTGTCTTGCTGGGCTGACAGCATCACTTCCCAGCTTCTCCTCGTAGAAAGCTGTAAAGTAAATCATTCTTTAAAGCCTAGTTGTGCTGTTGCTTCTCTAAGTTACCTTCTGTGTCACCCTCGGTTGGATTGTCCAAGGACCAGTAGTGCCAGGGAGCCTCCATCATGTCAGTCCTTACATTGACTTGATTGCTCATTCACTTTCTTTTCCCCACAGCTAGACTTTGAGCTCTTTAAACCACTTAGGATTCCTGAGGTGAAATCCAAATTCATTGGTTTAAAGAGCTCAGTCCTTCTGTCACAGCCATGTTAAGTATTCACACTGACAAGGAGCAGTGGGCTTTGCAGGAGTGTGGAACTGTATGATCTGTGAAAGACTTCTGCAGACTTCTTATGCTTTTTTCCAAGATGGCTCATATATATATATATTTAATCAGAGATAATCTCTATGAGATTCATCCAATTAAAATCTATCATCATTAAACACCAAACAGTCTTAAAGTACTCTTTTTTTCCACAACTTTCACTTTATGTTCCTGATCACTAAATTAACCAAGTGAAATTATTTGCTACCAGCGCTTTTATTCCCTAGATTATATCAACAATGTGTGTACATGCGTGGGGGGTGCGTGGGGGAGGGTATGGGGGGGTGTGGGGGGGTG